CCTGGGTGTTGCTAGTATGAGTGGTGGCAACCCTCAGTGCCAACACCTGGAAGAGCCTGTAACAAAGCCCACAGACACACCAGGTGAAGGTGTGCCCTTATCCTCTCCTCCCATATTTCCATATGGGACACCTCATTGCCTCACACCAGCAGAATCCCAACTCTATACCTTCACCTACACAACACTGTGGAGCAGCAGGGGTGGCTGCTCTGTGAGAGAAGTGCAGCATAACATGGTGTGTGGGCAGTGGCCCCCATAGCTGGCAGCCAGACCTAAGCCAGGTGAGCAGCACAGTCCCATGGCAGTGACCAGGCTCAGTCTGGACTTCAGACAAGTCTTCTGTAATGGGCAGGGCTGATGTTTGAGTTCCCAGGTGAGGGTCTGGCTCACAGCCCCAGGACACGGCTGTACACAGCAGCAACACAGCTGTAACGTAGCTTAGGTGGCAACCAAAGTAAGAGCTTTGGCTAAAAACATCTGCCAGGTGAATGAGTGAAGAGTGGTTCATATATATATACACATACATACACACACGACTTCTTCCATTTTTTTTCAAAATGCTCCAAAGCCACCTGATGGTGATTAAACCACTTGCTCTTACCAGCAAACTGGTCTTAAATGCTCAGAGTTAAACTTCTTTGGGGGAGGCAGGGGCAGAGGGTGCAGTTTGGGTCCTGACACAACAAACGTTCCCTTCCCTAGTTCCACATCTTTCCTTTCTCTTCCCTGTTTTGCTTAAGCCTTCTCTTCTGCAGGAATCCCTGAGGGCAGGTCCAGGGTTGGCACTTTGAAAGGTTTGAAGCCTGCAAGAAACCCAGTGCCTACTGGCAAACACTGGCACAAGGTGACTTCCACTTCTGCCGTGTGCCCCCTACATGTGGTTTGCTTGCAATTAGTTAAAACCATACTTTCCCCTCACTGCAAATCTGGGAGGATCAACAATACCTCTTCTGACACGTTCGTAAAACCTTTCCTTAAAGACTTCCAGTGATGAGAGCTGTGCCATTCCCTAGCAATCTGCTCTGGCACACATCCTAACATCATCCAAAAGTCTAACTTCAGGGTTATTTTGGGTTTTTTTTATTTCAAATCCTTCATATCCTGCCCTGTTCACCATGGCCATAGCCTTCTTCAAAATGACCCCTTGGGCACTTGATGATGTGCAATGCTGAAATGCAATGCTTCCCTTCTTGTCCTTGCCTCAGCTT